AACTGGGGTCGTGGTTCACATTTTTTTTAAAGGGGAGCAGTGTGTGTGTGTGTGTACTCCAACTACAGAGGGATCACACTCCCCAGCGTCCCAGGTAAAAGCCTATGCAAGAGTGTGCTGGAGAGGAAGCTCCGCCCAGTGGCCGGGCCTCAGATTCAGGAGGAACAATGCGGATTCCGTCATGGTCGTGGAACAATGGACCGGCTCTTTTCCCTGTCACAGATATTTGAGGGGCCATGCGAGTATGCTTCTCCAGTCTACCTCTGCTTTGTAGACTTGGAGAAGGCACATGACCGTCTTCCTCGCAATGCCTTGTGGGAGGTGCTGCGGGAGTACGATGCACCGGTGACGCTTTTGTGCGCTGTCCGGTCCCTCTATGCCCAGAGTGAGAGCTGCGTCTGCGTATTCTTGGTGTTAAATCAAAGTCGTTCACTGTGGGTGTTGGACTCCGCCAAGGGGGGGTGCGTCTTGTCTCCACTCATGTTTGTGATTTTCATGAAGGTGCAGCCATGGTGTATGGAGAGTATCCAGTACGGGGGCATTGAGATTATTTAGTACGGGGCGGGGGGGGCATGGAGGTGACGTCGCTGCTTTTTGCAGATGACGTTGTCCTCTTTGGCTCGTCAGTCTGTGATCTCCAGCGTTCATTTGAGCGGTTTGATGCCGAGTGTGAAGCGGCTGGGGTGAGGATCAGCACCTCCAAATCCGAGGTCATGGTTCACTCCCAGGAGAAAGTGGATTGTTCTTTCCAGGTGAGGGGGGGGAACAAGCTGCCCTGAGTGGAGGATACGTGTACGGTATTGGACACGACATTCATAATAAATGTTTTTGGGTTAGATCTTGTAAGTATAAATGTGTCGTATCCCTCCACCACCCGACACGGCCAGTAAAGGTTTGTCACGTAAACAATGAGCCATTTAGTTACTGCTTCAGCCCACTCTGGTGTGTTGGAGAGTAAAGTCCACAACATTTACAATTTGAGTACGACGTTTTGCTGGTAATTACATCCACCGTGATCGGGCGATTTGCCATTATAAATGTTTTTCGCTCCAGATATTTACCATAAAAGTTATATGCATAACACTAGCCAATACACTATGTAACACAATTTTTGTTCCTGGGGAGTAAGTGTTATTTCCTAATTGCTTACGCCTCAAAAAAAACGTTGCTTTTGTGACCAGGACAGTGATATTTTGAAACGGGCGAATTTGTGTTTTTTCATTCACATAAAGTCAGAAAAAACAACATGAATACACATTTACATGTATTTATACTAAAGTAATACAAAAATGACTACAAAAGATTTAGAAGCGAGTAGTTTTTCGAGATTTACGATTATATTGTAAATCACTTTCACGAATCAGCTCCCAAATGTAGTCTCCCATGTTCTCGTTATACTGTCCTTGGTCGCGGCGTTCAAAGTCCAGTAGATCCTGGTGGAAGCATTCGCCTTGCTCCTCCGAGTACGCTCCCATGTTCTCCTTGAAGTTATCAAAATGAGCATCAAGGATATGGACTTTGAGGGAAATCCTACAGCCCATTGTGCCATAGTTCTTCACTAGTCTCAACCAGCTCCACATACTTTTTGTCCTTGTGATTGCCCAGGAAGCCACGAACCACTGCGACAAAGCTGTCCCAAGCCGCTTTCTCCTTACTAGTGAGCTTATTGATGAATTAATTGCACTCCAGGATATTATTTATCTGTGGTCCGACGAAGACACCGGCTTCGACCTTTGCCTCAGACAGCTTAGGGAAGAAGTCTTGAAGGTACTTGAAGGCTGCCGACTTCTTACCTACAGCTCTGACAAATTGTTTCATAAGGCCCAATTTGATGTGCAGCACCTTCCGGGGGTCCACCAGTGGCTCCCACTTGACGTTGTTCCTCCCCACAGAGAACTCGGTCCGCTGTGGCCAGTCCCACCTGTGGTAGTGCGCCTTGGTGTCCCTGCTGTCCCAAACGCAAAGATAGCAGGGAAACTTGGTAAAACCGCCTTGGAGACCCATCAGGAATGCCACCATTTTGAAGTCTCCGATGACCCCCCCAGGCAAACTCATCATATTTGAAGTTTCAGTGACTGCAGGAATCCATACTCTCTGGTTCTTTCGGTAAAGTCACGTGCTAGGTAGAAACAATAACAAAAGAAAACGCGCCGTTTCGGTCGCAACACAAACGTCGTGTTTTCCTTTTGTGATTTTTTTCTATCTACGTGATTTTACCGAAAGAACCAGATAGTATACTCGTCATACTTCAAGGCGTCCAGCAAGGTCTTGATGCTGTTGTAATCCCCTTTGAGGTGCACCGAGTGAGCCAGGGGAAGAGACGGGTACTTGTTACCATTATGGAGCAGCAACGGCTTTGAGTCTCCTGGATGAGCAGTCAATGAAGAGGCGCCACTCATTCTGGTTACAGGCGATTCCGATTGCCTCGGACAGACTGGTCACATTGTGGTAGAAGCAGAGGCCATCTTGACGGGTTAAGAAGCTGCAAAAAGGTCGGTGACGCTTCCTCTGATCTGCGACTTGCACACTTTCATCCAACAAGTTCCAATGCTTGAGCATAGCCGTCAAAAGCTCGGCATTGGACTTGGTGCGACCAAGATCTCTGATCTAGTCGTTGAGGTCTTTTTGGTTGGGGTAGTATGGGTTTCTCTCCTCAGCTCCACCTCTGAAATTGTCATCTGGATCTACAACGTCTTCCTCGCTCTCTGACTTGCTGCTCTCTTCTAAAGACGACCGCTCTCTCTCTGGAGGAGTGGGTACGGGGAGCTCATGGCAGTGTGGCACCGGGGCGATGGATGAAGGTCCGGATACGTGATAGCAGGTGCATTCTTGCCAGTTCCGACGTTTGGAAGGGTCCACTATGCTGAAGTAGCAGTTGCTTGAGTGGTCAGTGGGTTCCCGCAAAATTCTTGGGATAGTGAACTTCATGGCTCTCTTTTCCCCTCTGTACCATCCTACAAAAATATATTTATTTCACCCATGACTAATGTGTAAGAGATTCTTGCAACACTTTTCATGTGACATATATTTTCACGAGCATTGAAAATTGTAAAACATTTTAAATTTAAAAACGTTTACAATAAAAAAAGTGAAATTTTATAACTTTATATTCGGAGCAACAATTGTCCATCTTACCTTCCAGAGTTTTTGTTGCATTGCTTACAGGTGAAATGAGGTGCCCAGGGTTTGTCTTGATCCCCGACAGGCATGCCGAAATATGCCTTGTAGGCCTCACACATCATAGCAGATGCTTCCACAGAGTACTTCTCTGCTCTTGTTTTGATAAATTGGCCGCAAACATAGCAAAATGCGTCTGCCGGATGCTTGCAAGGCTCTTGATGCCAAAAATTCAAATATGTATCCACTTAGCAGCTGGAACTAAACTGAACTGGTGGGCCTAAGGCCCCTGTATTTATACTACTATTTATATAACTGGAAAGTTCTAGAATGTTCTATAAGTTACTCCAAGTTTACTCAGCACTGAAACTATCTGGAATCTTCTGGAAAATAGGTAAATTTGGAAATATCACTGTCCTGGTCACAAAAGCAAAGTTTGGGAATAATAACCATTTTCTCTACTTTTGAGGCGTAAGCAATTAGGAAATAACACTTACTACCCAGGAACAAAAAAAAAAATTGTTACACAGTGATATCAATCATTTTCTGTTTCGAAATCCCTCCTGTTTTAATGTTTTTGGTTGAGCTCGGGTGACGTAAATCGAAAGTAGGGGTTGGTGTCGTATTACCAACCGCAAAACCAAACCCTCGTTTTCCCATTTGCCGTCGAGTTTGCCGATCGCAGATATGCCGAATGTGGCGATTTTCAAGAAAAGTCCGTGACGAGCAACCGTCTGCCGTACATCGACAGATCGTTCGCACAGGGGAAGAGGGAGAGAGCGGGAGAGAGCAGGAGAGAGACAGAGGAACACGAGGATCATAGAGTACACACCACGCATGGTGTGTGTGGGCCGGGCCACCAGCTGGTCGTCGCTGGGAGGGACGGTCGCCACGGTGGGCAGCGAGACTCGCGATGCAACGGCAGCCAAAGGAGGAGGGAACGTTCCCCCACCCCCGGCTCCCCCCCCCCCCCACCGAGAGAACGTTCACCACGGACGGAGACGGAGCGATGAAATCGGATGGCAACAGCTTGGGGGAGTAGGCCTTCTTGATCCAGCGAGTGGATTGATCGTGACTGACAATGAAGACGACGATGATGAAGATAACGATGATGATGGCGACGATGGCGACGATGACGACGATGATGACGATGACGATGATGATGACGACGACGATGATGACGACGATGATGACGACGATGATGACGACGATGATGACGATGATGACGACGACGATGACGACGATGATGACGACGACGATGATGACGATGACGACGGGTGTCCACCCACACGGAGGCAAAACACTCGCGACCTAAAGAGAAATAGGCCAAACAAACATCCCGGCGTAGCGAGACCCTCCTGACGTTGGGCCCTGAGACCCACTGAGGCTTTCTCGGTCCAAGGTGGCGCTCTGGTTTGAGCCGCGCTGCCCGACATTGAAGTCATTGGTCACTCGACCGATGATCAGTTCCGTGTGTGTGTGTGTGAGTTGCGTGTGGACACGTCTTTGTGTGCGGTCGTGTACACTACCGCGGGGAATGGCGGCGTAGCGGTTAGCGCTACGCCGCGCTACGAACCCGGCGGCCCGAGATCGATTCCCTCTCGCGGGCCAACACCGGTGACGATTATCTGAACCGCTCCTGGGGCCCCCGCTAAGTCGACTGAGGCTCACATGAGTACCTGGTGCTGCGTGTATACATCGCCACTGCGGAGACGAAGGCGGTCGGGTGCGGTGTTGGCCATCCACCCCCTCGTGTGCCGTGCACTTTCCCCAACAGTCTGCAGGCTGCATGGGCGACCTTTGTCTTGGCTGTGTATACATTTCAGCGCGTGCTTGTGTGCGCGCGTGTTTACCTGTGCGGTTGTGTGCCTGCGCGGTTGCAGAGAGCGCGGCGATGAGCGACGCCGACGTGGTGTGCGTCACGCTGCGGTTCCCCGGGGGAGCCCTCGGCACCGTGGAGTCGGGGAGGAGCGGCCCCGGGGCCTGCGAGCACCGCGTGGAGGTGAGCGAGCGCACGGGGGGGGAGACCGCACGAAGTCGACGTGGCATTATGTCGTGGTGTGGTGTGGCGCGGTGTGACACGGCGCGGTGTGACGCGGCACGCTGCGCGGTGTGCTGTGGTGTGACGCGGCGATGTGACCCCCCCCCCCAGGTGCGTGGCACGCAGCTGGCGGTGCGCGTGGAGGCCGGGGAGCCGCTGGGCGTGCGAGTTCTGGGCCCCGCGGGGGGCCCCTGGGCCCCGCTGCCGTCCCAGACAAGCGCCCAGCACTACCGCGCAGCACGTGCCGCCCTGGTGCACCACTTCCTACACACGCTCACCGGTGCGGAGACGTGCTCACACGCACACACACCCATGTACACACTCACACACACGCACACACACCCATGTACACACTCACACACACGCACACATACCCATGTACACACACACACGCACGCTTACCCATGTACACACTCACACACACGCACGCATACCCATGTACACACACACACGCACGCTTACCCATGTACACACTCACACACACACACGCATACCCATGTACACACTACCACGTACACACACGCACGCATACCACGTACAAGCGCACGCATACTCATGTACACTCACGCGCACGCATACTCATGTACACACGCGCACAACATACTCATGTACACACTCACCTACACGCACGCGTACCCATGTACACACGTGCATGCATACTCATGTACACGCACGCATAACCACGTACACACACGCACGCATACCATGTACACGCGCACGCATACCACGTACACACACGCACGCATACCATGTACACGCGCACGCATACCACGTACACACGCGCCCGCATACCCATGTACACACACGCACGCATACTCATGTACACACGTGCACGCATACTCATGTACACACGTACACGCATACTCATGTACACACACGCACGCATACTCATGTACACACGTGCACGCATACTCATGTACACACACGCACGCATACTCATGTACACACACGCACGCATACTCATGTACACACGTGCACGCATACTCATGTACACACACGCACGCATACCATGTACACACACGCCCGCATACTCATCTACACACGTGCACGCATGCTCACGTACACACGCAGACGCATACTCACGTACACACGCGCACGCACGCATACTCATGTACACACGCACGCATGCTCATGTACACACACGTGCACGCATACGCACACACCCTTCAATATGAATACCAATACAGATACCCGCCATTCACCACGAAGTGACGGTGACGTCACCACAGCGCCTGTGCCAGGCCAGGTGCACATCGAGGCCATGTGTAGTGTCTAAGGTTTGCTGACAGGAGGGCATGGGACAGGCCCAGGTGTTATGTATGGGTTGACTGACTGAGATGACTGGTGTGTTCCCCACAGTAACAGCTCACTGCTGCGTCTTAGCAGCCCGGCGCTCCGCTCGTTGTTGTGAGCGTCGCTCCTCCGCCCTCCGTTGTTGTTGGAGGGCGACTGCCCCCAAAGCCCAGTAGCAGCGTCCTTCACGAGCCTCCTCCACAGAGGCCGATCTTGACTCTGCTGGTACCAGCCCCATCTATCCGGCCAAACAGAAGCGGCTCGGTCATGCGGTGGTTTGGCATACAGGCTACATGACCCAGCCAACGCAGCCTTGCACAATCCAGCCTGGTTAACCCTCGATGGATCATGGGCAGGCCAGCCTGAATGTTTCTAACCGGCGCAGATGTTCCTTTAAGGGGCTCCACGTTTCACAAACACAGAGCAAGGGAGGGCATGACCGTGGCGGAGAAGACCCGGACCTTCGTATGGAGCGACAGGCCAGGTAGCTTCCACACGGCGTTACGCAGCCGCTGAATAGAGAATGTCGCTCGACTGATTCGGAGTGAGACTTCCGCTGCTAAATCAGGGCAGGTCATGAGCACACTCCCCAGGTACAGGAACTTCTCGACTCTTTCCACAACTGCCCCATCACTTGTGGAGTGTCCCTGTGTCACCCCGTGTCTCCCCGTGTCTCACCGTGTCTCCCCGTGTGTACTCCGTGTCTCACCATGTGTACTCCGTGTCTCACCGTGTCTCCCCGTGTGTACTCCGTGTCTCACCATGTGTACTCCGTGTCTCACCGTGTCTCCCTATGTGTACTCCGTGTCTCCCCATCTGTCACCCCGTGTCTCACCGTGTGTACCCCGTGTCTCCCTATGTGTACCCCGTGTCTCCCCGTGTGTACCCCGTGTCTCACTATGTGTACACCGTGTCTCCCCGTGTGTACCCCGTGTCTCCCCGTGTGTACCCCGTGTCTCCCTATGTGTACCCCGTGTCTCCCCGTGTGTACCCCGTGTCTCACCATGTCTCACCGTGTCTCCCCGTGTGTACCCCGTGTCTCACTATGTGTACCCCGTGTCTCACCATGTCTCACCGCGTCTCCCCATGTGTCACCCCATGTCCCCGTGTCTCCCGTGCGCATGTCCCCCTCCCCCCCCCCCGCGCAGGCGCCGTGTCCCCCGGCGTCTCCCAGGAGGACTACAACCGCGCCGTTGGCGTCTGCTCCGCGGCGGAGCAGTATTGGCGCGAGGGCTGCCCGCGCGACGCCGCCCTCATCACCATCGTCAAGACCGAGGTCATGTGATCTGTGGGGGGGAGCGAGCTGCCCCCCCCCCCCGCCCAGCCCCGCCCATCCACACACGCGCACAACCTCGTGTGCACCCCCACCACCTGAATTGATGAAGCGCGTCGTGGGCGAGGTGAAAGGAGTCGGGGATGAACGACTCGCACGCACGCCGTGGGGTTCTCACGGTGGACGCACGCCTCCGGTCGACTCCCGGTGATCCCGGGGTGGGGTGTGGTGGGGGTGTCGCGGTGTGGGGGGGGGACGGGGAGGGGGGGGGGTACGGGCTCGGGGATAAAGTGGTCCCGGATAAAACCAAAAACACGGATGTTGCGTTGGTCGGTCGGAGCTTCGGGCGGCAGATTTGTGCCAGAAAGTTGCCGCGGTGTTAAAAAAGCAAAAAACGAAATTGACTTGGCTCCGGTGGGAGCGTATTTATTGTAACTGGCGTAGAGTTGGGGGCGGAGAGAGACGTCGGCCTCTTCGCCCCTTTTTAGTGTTTTTTTTTTCTTCGAGTACTCGGTTTTACTTCCCCCACACCGCCCACCGTGATTGTGGTCGTGCCGGCACCGTCATGTCGCGGACCCTCGACGGCCGGCGAGCGAGGAGCGGTCCGTCCGTCCGTCCCGTCCCGTCTCTCCAGCCCGCCCGCCCGCCCCAAATATCAGATTAGTCTCTCGGTGAGCTCGGTGCGAGCGAACCCGCCGCCCGGGTATTCCGTCCCGAGGATGCCGGAGAGAGTTAGCGGTTGGCTACGCGCGGATCACGTGTGTGCGCCGTAGGGCACGCGCACCCGCACCTGCTTGCCGACGCCCACCAAACCCTAACCCTACCGATCGTCAACCGAGACCTCGGCAATTTACCTCGCTACCACCGCCGACTCTAGAATCTCGCCACCCAGATCCGGAAGAACATTGCTGCTGCTGCTGCTGCCACTGTGCGAACAGAGTGGAAATAACGCAGACGTCCAGAATAAACCCCCCCCCCCCCCCCCATTCGAGACCAAAAACATCGCCGCACCACCTCCTCGCTTTGACACTCCTCCTCCTCCTCCTCGAAGGCACTGGTGGAGCCGTCAACCGAGTCACATCATCACCTGGCCGATGCTGCACCACGCGTCCTCCTTGAATGGAAAATGAAAGACACAGCCAGAGTGGTGCCATGTAACCCAAACGACGGACCGCACAGTGAACCCACTGTGGTTTTCTGCGCTCCTTTAATGGAGGAGGAGGAGGAGGAACAGCGACACGACACAAACTCTCTCTCTGAAGCCCTCTCTCTCGTCGTTAGCAGCAGCAGCAGCAGCGGCGGCGGCTCCATATTGGCATCTAGCCCCTGGACTCCATCGCTGCAGCCATCATCGTGCGCAGGAGGAGAATTGAGCAGTGACGCCGTGCAAGCAAAAAAAAAATTAAATCCTTGGTTCATCGCGTTTCTCCGTCGAACCAGTGCAGGGAGGAAAAGACACGGCTCTAACTAACGCTGCCCCGTAAGAAGCACCACTTCACGCACGTCGGCTTCCTCGTCCTTGGCGCGGAGGCGGGTGCTTAACGCTCGCGCGATGCGCCCGCCGCTCGCCAGGGACGTTGGGCCGAGTGGTGGGCGTGCGGTAGACGGGGGGAGGAGTGGGGTGGGGAACGCCGCGGCGACGTCGCCCAGAAGGCCTCCTCGCGAAAGTCGTCGCTCAAAAGTCGTTCCGCTCAAACGATCGACTCCCAGCAGCCGCTCAATGGAATTCTGACGATTCGGGGGGGCCCTGATCTGCCGTTCAGAATTTTTTTTTTTTAATCTCGAATACTTTTTTCATGATGTTGTTGTTGTTGTACATTTTGTTATATTTTATTGGCCACGTGGTCGGTGTGGTTCTGCCCCGTGTGCCCCTCCCTCCCATCCCGTCGGTACTAGCCGGGCTCTTCCTCCATGGCAGCCGAACGGCACCGGCATCGCACGGACCGTCGGCGTGAAATCGCGAATCCCTTGCGTGCGCACACACACACCAAAAAAAAAGACAGATCCACTAACAGCATATTCTTATTTCTTCCGGTTACGTAGATAGAAAAAAAATACAAATAATAAATTACAAATAATATAGGATGATTACTCATAATAAAGGTTTTTGGGTTAGATCGCGTTATTTATAAATGTGTCGTAACCCTCCACCACCCGACACGGCCAATCAGCAAAAAAAAAGTGTCACGTTGACAAAAGACAATTAGTTCACTACTTTAGCCCACCGGTGTGTTGAAGAGTGAATCCACAACATTTACAGTTTGAGTACACTGTAAAGTTAAGTGTGAGTTGTGTGGAAATCCTCCCCGTAGATGTGGTTCAAACTTGATTTGAAGCTTTCTCTCTCTCCGCCTGTCTCATTGACATGCTAATTTCTCTGCTCACCCCCCCTCTCTCGATATAAATGCCTCGTCACAGAGGCGTTGTTTCTGTGTGTCTCTGTGTGTGTGTGTCCCTCCCCCATGCGTGTCTCTCTGTCTGTGTTACTCTCTCTGTGTGTGCGTCTCTCTCCGTGTCTGTGTTGTGTCACTCTCTCTGTCTCTCTCCGTGTCTGTGTTGTGTCTCTGTCTCTCTCCGTGTCTGTGTTGTGTCACTCTCTCTGTCTCTCTCCGTGTCTGTGTTGTCTCTCTGTCTCTCTCCGTGTCTGTGTTGTCTCTCTGTGTGTCTCTCTGTGTGTCTCTCTCCGTGTCTGTGTTGTGTCTCTGTCTCTCTCCGTGTCTGTGTTGTCTCTCTGTGTGTCTCTCTCCGTGTCTGTGTTGTGTCACTCTCTCTGTCTCTCTCCGTGTCTGTGTTGTGTCTCTGTCTCTCTCCGTGTCTGTGTTGTGTCACTCTCTCTGTCTCTCTCCGTGTCTGTGTTGTCTCTCTGTCTCTCTCCGTGTCTGTGTTGTGTCTCGGTCTCTCTCCGTGTCTGTGTTGTGTCTCTGTCTCTCTCCGTGTCTGTGTTGTCTCTCTGTGTGTCTCTCTCCGTGTCTGTGTTGTGTCACTCTCTCTGTGTCTCTCTCCGTGTCTGTGTTGTGTCTCTGTCTCTCTCCGTGTCTGTGTTGTGTCTCTGTCTCTCTCCGTGTCTGTGTTGTGTCACTCTCTCTGTCTCTCTCCGTGTCTGTGTTGTCTCTCTGTCTCTCTCCGTGTCTGTGTTGTGTCTCGGTCTCTCTCCGTGTCTGTGTTGTGTCTCTGTCTCTCTCCGTGTCTGTGTTGTCTCTCTGTGTGTCTCTCTCCGTGTCTGTGTTGTGTCACTCTCTCTGTGTCTCTCTCCGTGTCTGTGTTGTGTCACTCTCTCTGTGTGTGTCTCTGTGTCTGTGTTGTCTCTCTGTGTGTCTCTCTCCGTGTCTGTGTTGTCTCTGTCTCTCTCCGTGTCTGTGTTGTCTCTCTGTGTGTCTCTCTCCGTGTCTGTGTTGTGTCACTCTCTCTGTCTCTCTCCGTGTCTGTGTTGTGTCTCGGTCTCTCTCCGTGTCTGTGTTGTGTCTCTGTCTCTCTCCGTGTCTGTGTTGTCTCTCTGTCTCTCTCCGTGTCTGTGTCACTCTCTCTGTCTCTCTCCGTGTCTGTGTTGTCTCTCTGTCTCTCTCCGTGTCTGTGTCACTCTCTCTGTCTCTCTCCGTGTCTGTGTTGTCTCTCTGTGTGTCTCTCTCCGTGTCTGTGTTGTCTCTGTCTCTCTCCGTGTCTGTGTTGTCTCTCTGTGTGTCTCTCTCCGTGTCTGTGTTGTGTCTCTGTCTCTCTCCGTGTCTGTGTCTCTCTGTGTGTCTCTCCGTGTCTGTGTTGTCTCTCTGTGTGTGTCTCTCTCCGTGTCTGTGTTGTCTCTCTGTGTGTCTCTCTCTCTGTGTCTGTGTTGTCTCTCTGTGTGTCTCTGTGTGTGTCTCCGTGTCTGTGTTGTCTCTCTGTGTGTCTCTCTCTCTGTGTCTGTGTTGTCTCTCTGTGTGTCTCTCCGAGCTTGCATTCATTCACACCTGATGACGGTTGCTTGTGTTGCAATCAAAACGTCGTGCGTTCTATTATTTATTTTATTTTATTTCTACGTGACTTTACCGAAAGAACCAAAGAGTAATTCCTGCAGTCACGAAAGCTTCAAATCAATTTGATATAAAAGAATATTGACATTTTATTTATTTATTATTTTAATTTTACATTTAATTTATATTTTAGTTTTTTTTATCTACGTGACTTTACCGGAAGAACCAAGAATATGAATTCCTGCAGTCAAGAAAGTTTTAAGTCAAAATTCCACTAACAGCACTTGCCCGCTGTTAGCGAGCAGCACCTATGAAGGGTCGCACGGCACACGAGGGGGTGGGTGGCCAACACAACGCCCGGCAGCCTTTGCCTCCCCAATGGCGATGTTTACTACACACCGCACCAGGTACTCATTTGAGGCTGAGTCGACCTAGAGGAGGCCCGTGACCGGCTCAGATGATCGTCACCGGTGTTGGCCGTGAGCGGAAATTGAACTCGAGTTTCTTAGCGCAGCGCAGCGCTGACGGCGACAGCACAGAGGCACGTGCCTTCCGTCGCAGGACGGAACTGGTGCCGTCGCGGGCACGCGCTCGGCGTTTGCCCTGCTCCGGCGCTCCCCACACACTGTCCAACCCACAAGTTGTGGCGAGCGCCTTGCTTGCGAAGCGCTCGCTGGTGGCCGGAGCCCTCCGTGGCAGGGCGCTTGCGAGCGAGAGCGGGGAAAGAGCGCCGCTCCACACACGGCAGTTTGGCAGAGGTGCGTGGCAGTTCACCCACGCTCCACCCCAGCCGCGCTCCACCCCAGCCGCGCTCCACCCCAGGCCACGCTCCACCCCAGCCACGCTCCACCCCAGGCCACGCTCCACCCCAGGCCATGCTCCACCCCAGCCACGCTCCACCCCAGCCACGCTCCACCCCAGGCCACGCTCCACCCCAGGCCATGCTCCACCCCAGCCACGCTCCACCTCAGCCACGCTCCACCCCAGGCCACGCTCCACCCCAGCCATGCTCCACCCCAGGCCATGCTCCACCCCAGCCACGCTCCACCTCAGCCACGCTCCACCCCAGGCCACGCTCCACCCCAAGCCGCGCTCCACCCCAGGCCACGCTCCACCCCAGCCGCGCTCCATCCCAGGCCACTCTCCACCCCAGCCACGCTCCACCCCAGCCACGCTCCACCCCAGCCACGCTCCACCCCAGCCACGCTCCACCCCAGGCCACGCTCCACCCCAGCCACGCTCCACCCCAGCCACGCTCCACCCCAGCCACGCTCCACCCCAGGCCACGCTCCACCCCAGCCACGCTCCACCCCAGGCCACGCTCCACCCCAGCCACGCTCCACCCCCGCCACACGTGCGTGCCTGCCACCTGCCCCCGACGGCTTAACTGGTGAACCCATTCATAGACCGAACTGCTTTGGTTGGACAGTGGTGGGGGGCGCGGGGTGAGGGGTGGTGGAGAGTGGGGGGCGAGTTAAAGAAGATTGCCCCCCCTCCACCCCCCTCCACCCACCTCCACCCCCACAACTCCCCATAGTTTCCGCCACTGCACCCAGAAGCTGGAGTCCAACCGGTGCCCTCTGGATAGCAAGTGCGGTGATAGAACCGCCGTTGTTAATGGACGGTCGTGTAATTGGATGTTTGTGAACCCCCGTGAGGTTTACCCCCTCGGCTTTTTCAACAATGACTGCATCATGACGCTAGAGGTTGGGGCGGGGGGGGGGGTGTTTGGGGGGAGGGAGGGGTGGAGAAAGCGAGGGAAGAGTGGGGTGGGGGGAAACTTGGCATCCTGGGGGGAGGGGGGGGGAGCAGGAGGAGGGGGGGGGAGTGAGTGGCCCTAGCGCCCTCGTTAACATTCGTAACGATATTGTGATGATTACTACTGTATTAACAAAGTGTTATGATGATGATGATGTCGATGATGATGTCGATGATGACGACGACGACGACGACGATGTGTAGTGAGTGGCACGTGCTCGGTTAGCACCCCCCCCCCCCCCCGCCCGTTTGTGAGTTGTCGTTTCCGTGATCGTCCCTCCCGTCGTTCCGTGCCCCCCCCCCCTCCCCCCGAGTGCGTAGAGCAGTTGCACGGCGCTAGCGCTCGCTGCTGATGTCGTGTCCCCCCCCCCCCCCCCGTGTCCCCCCCCCCCCCCCCCCCACCGTGTGTCCCACCCCCCCCCCTCCCGTGTGTGTCCCGTGCAGCAACAACCCGTGCCCAATAAAGCCCCGCTAACTCACACCCTCGTCTGCCCGTGTGCGTTTTGTGTGCGTCGCGTCTGTGCGTGCACACTCCTGGATGTGGGAAGGCTGTACGCGTGGATCTTTGTCTTTTTGGGCACGGCTCCGTGTGCCCACCCCTGTGTGTGTGTTACAGCAGAGGTGTAGGGATTTCCAACAAGTCCTACATCTCTGCTTTATTGACCTGGTCAAGGCCTATGATACCATCAGTAGGCCTGGGCTGTGGGTCGTTCTTCGTGTTTTTGGTGTCTCAGACCCTCTGCTCACGGTCATTAAGGACCTTCATGATGGTGAGCGGGCCCGGGTAAAACTACGTGGCCGGGAGTCAAGAGCCATTCCCTGTACACCTTGGGGTGCGACAGGGATGTCCTCTGGCTCCCACATAATTTAACATATTTTTCGACCACGTAGTTCGTGAAGCCTTCGATGGCTGTACCGGAGGAATTTCCATCTGGTACAGATATAATGGGAGGCTGATCGATGCCCGGGTGCGATCAAGGGATGGCTCCCTATTGGTCAACCATGTTATGTATGCCGATGATCTGGTAATTGCCGCTCACTCGGAGGAGTTGGAGGCGCTGCTGCTGAACCTGGAGCGTGCCACTAAGAGGTGGGGCCTTACCATCAACCCTACCAAAACTAAGCACCTGCCCGGGTGTTTTGTACCATCGGACACTCCACCCCCACAACTCCCAATTGGTGATGGGGCAGTTGTGGACAGAGTGGAGGAGTTCCCATACAAGGGCAGTGTGCTCATGACCGGTTCCGGTTTGACAGCATAGGTCTCCGAATCAGTCGAGCAGCAATATATTTTCA